CCTCCCGCTCCCACCCCAGCCGGGCAGGCGGCTGCAGAGCGTCAGGACTGATCCCGGGGTGGTTTATTTCCTTAAGCCTACCCAGCTGTACTGCCTAGGCTAGTCGTTTTAGATCTGTGGGAGGGGGAAGAGTCGCTTTTCTGAAGTACTAACGTGTTGTATCGAGCCAGCGATAAGCTCCTGACTTGAAACGAGAAAGAGAAAATTCCTCAAAATTCGGGTAGTTTAGCATTTGGACAGGCCTTTTTCTGGTTTCCCCCTTAAGAGTCATTAATGACCCTGGGGTAGTTGCAGGGCCCTTGGTCAGGGCTGCCTGGCCACAGGGTTCTGTCACTCCAAAGGGACACAGCAATGACCTCCTGCCCAGTGTTGCTGTGACACTGCGGGTGAGGGGAGAAGTCTCTCTCTGAAGCCGGTTGGTGTTTTATAGATCAAAAGTAGTGCTTTTGGCTCAGAAAGCCAACAGTTAGTAAATGCCTGCCAAGGGGCATTTCTATTTCAGGTTCAGCCTCCTGTCACGTTACCCCAGGAGCAAACTGCACTTGACAACTCTTTAACTTTTGTCCTAAGCTGTGTGAGGGAGGGTCAGGGTTTGTGACCAAAGCTGCTTGTCCTGTCCGCTGGTGTGATGTGCAGCTTTTCAAACAAGTTGAGTAGTTCTTTTGGCATTAAGGTAATAAAACTTGCATCACTTCCATGTGCATCCTCGTCGCACCCATTTCCTGACTGCAGATGATTCCAGTGTTAGTCTTGCCAGTATAACGATTGCAGTTCTGCTTGTGACAGAACTTAGCCTGTGGTGCAAGGAGGTGCAGTAGCAGTTGGATCTGAGCATCACCAGCAGCAGCTTTTCACTGAACCCAACTTCCTGGAGCAAAGCAATAGGGGAGCTGGCAGATGGTCATCCAGGTTGTTACCTGCAGCAGGTGTTGACCTTGCATGCTGCTCGGGTAGAAAACCCGCACTAGATGTGAGTTCTCTGCTGTAAATCTGGCAGCTTCTTTCATGCAGGGTGTCACTTTTAGCATTAGTTTGAATTCAGTGCTTTTTCTAGTGTAGGCAGAACTTTCTGGTGGCAAAGGTATGTATGACTCTACCAAAGGCTAGTCCTTAAAAGTAAATTAATAAATAAAAGCAATAATCTGGCTTTTTTTCAACTTCATATTGCCTTTCTCCAGGTAAAATAAGGTATAAAGCATTCTGAAGGATCATGGTCTTTCTAGGTGTTTGTTGGTATTGTTTTGTTTTTCTGTTTCAGAAACAGTATCACAATACTAAACGATACCATTTTGCAATGTCAGAGGCTTGTGAAAGCTAGAAGTTAATACCATATTCCTTACTAGGAGATGAGATTCTGAACGATTAATTAACTGACTTAAGGGTTCATTATTCAGTGATGTCACAGCTCCCTCTTCCCTGCCTATCAGTGGTCTCTTTGCATTTCTTCACCCTTCCGCTTCATGGCTGTTTTAAGTATCCTCTGAAAATACTTTCTTCACTATGTCAATACCTATTTTTGCCTGTTTTCTTCATGCTTCTTGTGGTGTGACTTTGTAACTATCTCTGCATAGCATTCTTATTTTTGAAGAGCACAGTTATCTACCAGAGTTTTTATCTTCAAGTTACTTGTTGCCTCTTCAGCTATGTAGCTTTCTGTAATGTCATCGTCTTCTAGAGTTTCCAGTAAAATATCAGTGATATTTGTGCACTATTATGATTAATTCATTTTTTGATGTGACTAAATAATTGACTGGTCTGATAATGCCTCTTTTTTTTTTTCTCTGATGTGGGTCTTTCTAGAAATTTACCCACTTAAATATTTTTCACTTTTTCCCAAACATTTCAGGAATTCATAACTATCGGAGGAGACTAAACCAACCTTTTAAAATCCAACTCAGACATGCTTTTGCACTGCATTAAGGCGTTCTGAACATATTTGTAACAATAATATTGGTGGGCACTAAACTTAAAAAGCAAAGAAAACACAATTAAAAGGAAGTAATTTGTGATAAATATTAGAAATATAAATAAACTTCAGATAGTCTGCTGAGTTCTGGCTTGTTTGGCATGTAATGACAGTAATCACTAAGTGTCTGTGGCTACAGCTTATTGAAAGAAAGCAGCTGTGAGTCTGGGGCATTACCACAATATTCCAGTGGTTAATACGTAGGTTGTTGTTAAAGTCTTGCTAAATCTGCCTGTAGGTAAACATTGGGTAGATACTCACTAGTAGGCAAGCAAACCCAGTTTGAAAGGACGTTGTGAAGAGGTGGGTGCTGGTCTCTTCTCTAGAACCTGGTGGTAGAACAAGAGGAAATGTCCTCGAGCTGCTCCAGGGGAGGTTTAGACTAGACATCAAGGAGAAGTTAGTTACTGGAAGGGTTGTCAGGCATTGGGACAGGCTGTCCAGGGAAGCGGTTGAGTCACCATCACTAGGTGTGTTCACAAGTCCTCTAGATGTGGCACTTGAGGACACGGCTCAGTGCTGAACTGCATAGTTGGACTCAATGAACTTGAAGGTCTTTTCCAGCTGTAGTGATTCTGTGATGTGTTTATGTATGAAAAATCTTTATTTCTATATCCTTGTGAACATAAATCTTAATGATGCTTAATTATTTTTAAATAAGGGTTTGCGCAACACTTGGGTGTGGCTCCGGCAGCAGCCAAGGCTCCTGGGGCAGCTCATGGGCACTGCCTGCTCTGGAACAAAACCCACAGTAGCCAGAGTTCTTTTGTCACCTGTATTGTGATACTATTTCTGAAAAGGGATTCTACATGTCAAGTTGTGCTGCAGTCAGGCTGGTAGCTTGAGGAGGCTTGAGCTGTAAAGATCTTACACCTCCTGTTCTTTTTCCCTTCAGCAGGTGCTTCACAGCATTGCGAGGCATGGCTGGAGGTCACATTCTAGTAAACCTGCTCAAAACTTACATGTAAGCAAACCTGGAGCTGGCTTTAGCTTTGGTAAGTTCTTGAAAGAAATACAGCAATTAAGGGCAAATTACAGAGCTTAAAAAATTAAAATCCTATATTACAGTTCAACATGAATGTAAAATGAGAGGGTTTGTTCTAAATAGATTTCTGTTATTTTTTAGAAATGTTTGAAAACCAAAATTACTTTTCTCCTCAGCTCAGCTAAGTCAGGTGTATGTGTAGTGTTTATAGGATTTAATTCTGTTTTAAACTCCTGTCTGTCTTAAGCTTATTTATTGCGGTAGTGTCTTAAATTTGAGTAATTATCTCACATTGCCATTCACGATGCCGAAGTGACTAGATGTCGTCGTAGTTGAAATTGGTTACAAAGAAATGCTACAAAACAATTCCTCCTCATGTACTATGTACACAAAGCACATTTTTCAGCAGCTGGATATAGGAAACTTAATAGCCAGGATCTTCACACCATGCCTGCCTCCTTCTCTTCCTCCATTTGACTAGCCCAGCATTCTTTGTCTTTCTTTTGGTAAGAGATTTAGAGAGTCCCCCCTGCTCTGTCTTCAGTAATTGGTGGATAACTCTGTCGGAAGTGCCTGCATTGTAGGTGTTGGTGAGAGCACAAGGGAGGTTTTCTCCCAGGAGGAAGCAGAAGCTGAGGTTTTTTGTTTCCTGGAGAGGCCCAGGAAATGGCGGTTTGGGCTGTATTGGAAGGACACTCCAGTCTCCTCTTTTCTTACATTTTGACAACTGACAAAATTAAAAATAGTAGAGAATATGTGACACTTTTTTTTTTTTTTTGATAGAACTTACTGAAGAACAGAAAGAGTTTCAAGCTACTGCTCGTAAGTTTGCTCTGGAGGAAATTATTCCTGTTGCTGCACAATATGACAAAACTGGAGAGGTAAATCTACCATAGTGTAAGGAAAAAAAACAAACAACAACTTATATCTTAACCTGATTATAATTTACAACGTTGTTTGTCATGAAGCAAAAGGTGATTTTTCTTTGTCCGTTTCAGTATCCTGTTCCACTTATAAAAAGGGCTTGGGAACTTGGTCTTATGAATTCACACATACCAGAAAGCTGTGGTAAGGAAACAGTCTCTTTAATCTGTAAAATGGAACAAAGAAAAGGCATTAGATGAGATCTATATGTGTAATTACGGATTCTGTGTAAAATAAACAGTTGCATACTTGAACGATCTAAATTTAATCAGTAGGCAGGTTGACACATACAAGTGCTAACTATGTGTGGATGTAATCAGGAGACAAATTAGACAGATTATGATTTAGTAATTTACAACCAGATTTTCCTGCCATGATTACAACTGCCTGATGTTCCCCTGGTGCACCGTGTCTGCTGATTAGGCAGAGAAATTAAAAGGTCACATTTTGTTCTAGTCTCTGACACAGACTGGAGCAATTTAAAAGTTCATTCCAGAAGGACAGTTTTTCAGCTTAGATTAGGTGCAGTGCAGCACTGCTTTGCCACTGTTTAGCTGTGAGAGTAACCATGGGAAAAAGTTGAATTATGTTCTTTTTTTGCATTTGTACTACCTGAAAAAGAAGTTAGGGAAGTGTCCATAGCAGACCCCTTTTTTGGAAGACTAATCAGAGGGTATTTCTTGTATCAAAAATATAATAAATGAGGTTAAGGTACAAAGAGACAAAAGGAGCAATTATGATGACTGGATTTATTCAGCTACATATTCTAGAGAAACTAAAGGCTGAAATAGCTGGGCCACTGCAGTGTATAATCACTTGGTTATTAAATGAAAAATTACAAGTGGCAAATTGGACACTGGTGCTTTAAAAGGTCTCCAAGGGAGATCTGGGAAAATATATACTGGTAAGCCTGGCATACCCTGTAAGTTAAGAGCAAGTAAGATGAAGTGCAGAAATAATGGAGACAGACAAACGTGATATGCTAGAGAAGTGTTTTTGTGAAAGGAGGATGTGCCTAATAAAATAACTGTATTTCCCTGAAGTAGCTCAAAGTGTGAACAAGGGATGCCTGCTTGATATAGAATGGTTGAACTCACAAAATGAGTTCTAAAAATCATCAGGTTTCATAGTGGAAAAACTGAGCAGCACAGCCTTGCTGGGTCTTGTGCTGTCTGGAATATCTGTAAATAAATTGGAAAAGGGGTCAATACTGAGGTGACAGAGTTTACTGATAAAACTAAGTTATTGAGCCTAGAAAAGATGAGGCTGGTGCAAAGAGCAGCAGGAGAAGGCCATGAAACTGAGTCACTGCTAAAACAGCAAATTCAATTAAAAAGGAAAAAAGTGATGCAGGTGTGAAGGGAAAGAAGCGATCCAAATTTCACAGAGAAATGGTATCTTCTGGAATGGTTGCTGACTCTCAAAAAAGAGATTTTTGGGGTTTATTATATATTGTTCTGTGAATGTCAGCATAATGCTCAGAAATGGTCAAAACCATAAAAATTAAGGTCGGAAGGGACCTTTAAGGAAATGAAGAAAAAAGCAGAAGGCGTAATTATGCTGCTGCCTGGATCCAAATGTTACCTGCCTCTTTAATTCGTTATGTAGTCACATCCTTCCACCTCAAAAGACTATTGTGGAAACGGCAAAGGCTCCTAAAAGGATGATAAAGATTAAAAAAGATGTATCTTCTGTGTGAGATGTAGCTTCTGTATGAGAAATTACTAAAATGTCAATGTCATAGAAAGTGTGGAAAGGGATTGACAGTTCACTGTCCTTTTCAATGTAACTAGAAGGCATCAAATTAAGTCAGCAGATGGCAGGTTCAAAATAAACTAAAGGAGATGGTTCGACACAGAGTGTGTAGTTAATTTGTGAAAGTCATTGCCCCTGCATTATATTAATGCTAAAATTTTGCATAGGTTCAAAAAGCAGACTGGGCAAATTAATGTAAGAAGTATCTGTCAAGGGTTAGCATAACAAAGATACCAAAGAGGTATGTCTGTGGTTGAGGAAGCCACTGGAATGCTCAGAAAAATATCTTTGAAGAAATAAAACTGCATTGATATTGACTGTTTTTGTGTGTAGTTCCTGAGGTGTTGGCTCCTGTCAGAAACAAGATAGTTGTCTGACTAATACAGACACTTGTCACCCCTCCCCCAGTTGCTGTAGGAGCTCAGGAACCCCTTCTCTGCTTGCCAAGAACTTACAGTTCTCAAAACACAAAGTAGTAACAAGAATCCAGTGGTACATTCTTGCCACTTGGTGCAACTGCTCCCACATTAATCACACAAGAACCCTGGAACTGTGATAGGTAGTTTTCAAATCACCTGTTACTGTTCTGACAAAACTTTATGTAAAAAGCTTGCATGAAAATGCTTAATCAGACACAGTGCACAATCACATTTATCTGAGGAATGTGTTTTTGTTACATAATTCTGTAAATCACTAATACGTTACCATTTCAACCTATTTTAGTAACTATCTTTTAACTGTAGGTGGCCTTGGCCTTGGCAGTTTTGAAGCGTGCCTTATTACAGAAGAGTTAGCTTATGGGTGCACAGGGGTTCAAACTGCCATTGAAGCAAATTCCCTAGGGGTAAGCTCTATCATTTCTTATGTCCCTTAGACTAGAATCTGGGCACTTAAAAAAGTTGGATAATTAGGCTGAATATTTTCTTTCAGCAAATGCCAGTAATCATTGCGGGAAATGAGCAGCAGCAGAAAAAGTACCTGGGAAGAATGGTGGAACAGCCACTGATGTGTGTAAGTATAACTGCTACACTCTGGAATGTTCCTAAACCATATTAATTGTGTTACTCCTTTTTGTGTTTGTCTGTGTTTCCTTTTTTTTCAGAAAACACTGACATGTATTTGCAACCCAGCCAGTTTTCTTCTGTAACTAAACAGTGGCATTTAATGAAAGATAGGGAATGGCCAGTGAGATAAATGCAATAAGCAAATAGAAGATGTTACCTGGAAAATGATCCCCATCCCAAGTCACTTACCAAAAATTAACACCTTTTATTTCCCTTTCAAGAGGAGTTGTAGGCACTGAAGAAAAAGATGAGGTTACACAGGGAGAAACTCAGCTTGGATGGGAATTAAACTCTACTTGTCGTCTTGAATATTATGTAGGCAGTACTTGTTATGTAGAATGAAGTAAAGATCCACGTGCAATGCACCGGACAACAACTTGGCCTCATAAACTGAAGGACACAGTAAACAAAAGGTTTTACCCAGTGCTCTTACTTTCAGATTTAAAAAATCCTCAGCTTAAGTAACAACTTAAGGGTGACAGAGTGGTTCTGTTTGATTAAAAGACAAGCTTATGTATTATTATGGATTTATAAAGAAAATAAATTCATGTATATTTGCATTCCTTCCCAGGCAGCTGTTTGGTATGGGGTTTTTTTTGTTTGGGTTGTTTTAGTGGTTTGTTTTTTATTTAATGTTTTGAATTTTACCATGCAATTCACTTAAACCTGATTACAGATCAGTTTGATGCATATAGTCTGCAGTCATTGCTGCTTGCCTAAAAATAGAACTTCTATGGCTTAAGATTTTGCGTTTTATTTTCCTGAAGGCTTACTGTGTGACAGAGCCTGGAGCAGGCTCTGATGTGGCTGGAATAAAAACAAAGGCTGAGAAGAAAGGAGATGAATACGTTATTAACGGTCAGAAGATGTGGATCACCAATGGTGGGAAAGCAAACTGGTGTGTTCACTCATGGTGCACTTTCTGCTCTTAAAGTGGCTTCCCAAGGACAAGTTCTTTAATGTGTTCTGAGTGTTCACTGTGTTTCAACACAGTCCCCTTTAGCCTCTGCCCAGTTCATCAGGATAGGATGTAAGAATGTAGTCTCAGTGCTGTGCAAGGAGGAGGGGTGAGGACAGGGCAACTCTTCACTCAACAGGGTTTCTAGAATCTTGCTCCTATTAAAAAGAATTAATTCTGCTGTTTCTTCAGGGCCGGACAGCAACAGCATGATTTAACTGGCAAAGTACTCAAGAGACTTGTATTACTAGATACCCTGCTTTGTAGTTGTGGTGATTGAGCTCAGATGCTTCTGAGCCTACTAGGAACACCTCTCACTTCTGGTGGAGGTCGACACATGATGGATTGTGGGGCTACATTTTATTTTTTTCTGAAGGCAAGACATTTTCCAGCTGTCAAAGAACCTAGATATCGCTGTGGTGTCTATGAGCAAACTTTAATGTAAACCTCTTTCATCATGTCTCATGCCACACTGATTCCCAGCACACAAATTCTTCCCAATTCCAGTGGAAAAACTGTTTATGTTTATCTAAAAGCTGAATTTCCTAGTTGTTTTCCTTGTTCAAGGCAGATCCACCAAAGACAATTACCAGTTATCTTTTGACATTGCTGAACACCATAATTGTGATTAACAACTGTTCAATTTCTAAGAGAAATGATTATTTACAACTTATACTTAGAAGTGCAAAATTTGACATTAGGTGATAACCTAACACTTGGTGTGCAAGAATGTATTTCCTAAGTATTAATTGTTATGTACATGCTTTGAATAGGTTTCTTTGGTATTGTGGGTGAAGCTGATAATATCCCAGAGCCTTACAGTGCATGGAAACAGTGGAAAATCTTTGCCTGTTGACCTGAAGTAATTTTGTTAAATGTCATGAATCTTGGATCTTTGAAACTTTTCTCCCTTGCTGCCTCTCCCTTTGTTTTTGGGAGGGGCAGGAGAAAAGGGTTGTTGCCTTGCAGGCAGGTGGGGTCACAGGGCAGAAACGCACATGCAGACGTGGAAACGGCAGCTTACCGAGTATCTGGGTGTAGCTGTGAGGATAAACTGCATCCCTGTCCTCTGTTTGACACCAGGTATTTCTTGCTGGCTCGTACCGATCCAGACCCCAAGGCTCCTGCCAGCAAAGCCTTCACTGGATTCATCGTGGAAGCGGATAGCCCTGGCATCCAGATTGGAAGAAAGGTGAGGGCTGTACCTCTGGCTTGACAAGCCAGGAATGACTGTTCGGTTCTCAACCAGTAATGCAACAAGTGGGCGTTGCAGGAAAGGGCTGTGAGGCCGCGGCACGTTTTCTTATGCTCATGTGCACTGATCTTTTCATTTCTACAGCGCACGGAAACTGTTCCTGGGGCGTCGTCAAGAGGTTGTTAGTTCAGATGAGGAGCTATTCAGAGTGACCTTAAGCAAGATGCCTTTGGGCAGCTGCAAAAGAATCTTTGAGAACGACTCTAGTGACAGGCCCCAGTACCTGAGATGTAGAGTGTCTTGAAAGCATCAGAAGCAAGTGGGACAGTTGTGGCCATAAATACACAGACAGAGAGCTTCAATTTTAGCTACTGCTGGTTGAGGAAGAGGCCTTGGAGACACTGGTGCTAGTTCTTTATTAAAACAGAAAAAGTACTATTTTTAGTAGCATATAAAACTAGATGCTGAACATTAGGAAATGAATCAAGAAAGCTTGAAAAGCTCATTTACTTACTCACTTGTGCCCTTGCACTGCACGCACGTTAGAGTATTTGCTTTTTCTACTCCCATCTCAAAGTGCAGTTGAACTAGAGAAAGAAAACAGGGCTGGTTACAGCTGCAGAACTGGTTTCATCTCAGGAGAAAGTAAACCACCCAGCTGAGGCAAAGGAATGGCATGCTGGTCTGCAAGGGCCAAATTACTGTTTGCCACAACTATGGTAATTTTCAGTTCTTTGGGGAAAAAAACCATAATTTATGCTTTGAGTAAACTGAAGAGTGTAAATATGCTGTACTTGTGAATAATCCAATGTAGTTGGACCTCTGTACATTTCCCTTTCCAGGAAATTAATATGGGTCAGCGCTGCTCAGATACAAGAGGTATTGTCTTTGAAGATGTGAGAGTCCCCAAAGAAAACGTGTTAATAGCTGAGGGAGCTGGCTTTAAAATTGCCATGGGAGCTTTTGATAAGACCAGACCACCCGTAAGTATCAGAAATAACTCACAGGAAAGATAGCAGGCACTTCTGATTTTTCATCCCGTGCTGTGTTCACTTCAGGTAGCAGCTGGTGCTGTCGGATTAGCAAAAAGAGCACTTGATGAAGCTACTAGATACGCTTTGGAGAGAAAAACCTTTGGGAAAGCCATTGTTGAAGTAAGTGGAGGGTGTTACACGGGGAGGGAGAGAGAGAACAGAAGTAAAAGCTGTGTTTTCACACCAGATGTTCTACTGCTGATCTTTTAAGATTATTTCTTGGGTTTGTTTCTATTTTTTTCTTAATTTTTAAATCATGTCTGTGATTTCTGGTTTTCCAGGGATGTACATCATCACTATTAAGTAAATGTAGCTATGTGGTAACTTCAGGAATTTTTCTGTAATTTATCAGTGATAATAGTAAAAGCAGACAGAAAAGTCTGCACAAAATCCTGAAATTCGTGTACTATCAGGGCATCCTTTAGTCCTCCAGTGCTAATAAACAGGGATTCTGAGGCGAGGAGGAAGCCTGAAGTGTTAGGGGGCAGAGTTAACGTGGTTTGTTCCATCACCCACAGCACCAGGCAGTGTCTTTCCTGCTTGCTGAGATGGCCATGAAGGTGGAACTGGCCAGGATGGCTTACCAGAGAGCTGCCTGGGAGGTCGACGCTGGTCGCAGGAACACCTACTATGCCTCCATTGCAAAGGCCTTCGCGGGGGACGTTGCAAACCAAGTAGCTGCAGACGCAGTACAGATTTTTGGAGGGAATGGATTTAATACTGAATATCCTGTAGAAAAACTCATGAGAGATGCTAAAATCTACCAGGTAAGTAAAAGAGAGATGTGATCTTTATAGTAATCTGTATATTTGATATAAAGCAAACTAATGGTTGTGTATTTCAAAGAATGATGTACACAAGCAAAAAAAAACCTTTTAGAACCAAAGCAATAATCCTTCAATTTAAAGGAGAAGTAATTCAAATCAGGCCAATTCTTGCATGCAGAAGTCATTGCCCTGGAACAACAACTCAATCCACATATGAGAAATACATTCTGTTTTTTCTTCTTTTTTTTTTTTTCCCAAATGTAGTAACTCTTTTAAATTCCTTGACTCTTTAATTTGGGAGCTTTTGAACTCTTAGGAAAAAAACACAGTAGAAAAAAACCGATCAAAATCTCAATGCTTGCTCTGGTATTCTCTAAGCAGAGATGGTTTGTGGATAATCCTGTTCTGGAAAAACTGTCAGTGATAGAAGTTGACCTTCCATATGTATCCTAGGATGGTGCCTACCTATAGTTTAGCTTTCCTTTCAGCCTCAACACTAAAGCAGCTTCTTCAACTTTTTCCTCATCTGTTGTGGGGTTTTGTTGTTTGTTTCAGGTTGTTTTTTTCTCCTGTTTCCAGCCTGTTCATCATTTGTTGCTGTGCTCTAGACCTTCTGTTAAAAACTTTATCATAAGCTGTGTAGAATACATTGGTTGAGATGTCCTAAGTATTGAGCATCATGGAACGATTCTCTGGCATGTGTTATGTTAACCCAAGTGTGACACAAGTCGCAGACATTGGCCTGTAACAATTAAACACACTTACATGTTCCCCGGTTTAGCCTATAGTCACCTGTAATCCCCAGGGTTTTTTTCTGCAGTGTTACTGCCAAAAAGTTACTCCCTGTCATGTCGTAATTCCTTTATTAGCGTATGCTACAGTTCTTTTTTCAGCAAGAATATTTTGTATTCAGCAAAACCAGTCATGTTTGTTGACGTAATGAGTGGTGTGTCACGAATGGTGATTAGATAAAACATATCAAAATAGATTGCATCAAGAGCTGCCTGCAGACCATGACCCGTGGCGTTGGTCGGCTCTTAACAGCTGTGAGGTGACACGCTGGGGGGGAGGGAGGCCATCCAGAGGGAGGTTGGCAGCCTTCAGGAGTGGGCCCATGCCAACAGCTTGAAGTTCATCAAAGCAAACTTGCAAGGTCCTGCCCATGGGTTGGGGCAGTCCCAGGCAGAAGACAAGGCTGGGCAGAGAAAGGATTGACAGCAGTCCTGAGGAGAAGGACCTGGGATGTTGGTTGATGAAAAGCTCAAGGTGAGCCAGCAATGTGTGCTGGCAGCCCAGACACTCAGCTGTGTCCTGGGCCCCATCAAAAGCAGCACGACAAGCAGGTCAAGGGACACTTGACACTCCCCTTTGCTCTGCTGAGACCCCCTTGCAGGGCTGGGTCCAGATGTGGAGCCCCCAACACAGGAAGGACACAGAGGTGTTGGAGGGAGTCCAGAGAGATGATCCAAGGGGTGGAGCAGCTATGCTCTGGAGCCAGGCTGGGAGAGCTAGGGTGTTCAGCCTGGAGAAGAGAAGGCTCCAGGGAGACTTGAGAGCAGCTTCCACTGCCTGAAGGTGATGCAGGAAAGCTGGAGAGGGGCTTGGGACAAGGGCAGGGAGGGATGGGAGGAGGGAGAAGGGTTTGCAGCTGAAAGAGCTTGGGAAGGCTGGTCAAGGAAAATAGACTTTCAGCAGAAGTCTCCCCTCCCTCTACCGTTTATTAACTCCTACTTTGCAAAACCTAAGTGATGGCTTTTCTTCCTCGGGTGTTTTCCTTCATGCACTCTGTCTGTTTACGGTCACGAGAACCGTACTGAGAGAAGAGCACCCTAGTTTACCTAGAGAACAAGGAACCGTACTGAGAGAAGAGCACCCTAGTTTACCTAGAGAACAAGGCTGTCTGGGGGTCTGTTGTGTGATTTATTACACTTAGCCCGCTGCACTTCAGCTGTCACACGGGGATTTTCCCACTTTCCTCTGTCTGTCTGCACATCCTAATCCACAATGGGCCAGTGCCATGAAGGTTTAAAAATGTGTATCTGTTAAAACCTTTTAAAAAAAAGAATTGGCTAACGTGGTTGCAATTCTTCTTTTCAGATTTATGAGGGAACCGCTCAGATTCAAAGGATGATCATAGCTCGGGAACACGTTGGCAAGTTTAAGTCTTAGATGAGTCACGTGTGTCTGGGTCTGCTGGCCTGTTCTGAATTCTCATGGAGGAGGATTTTAGTGCATTTCTCAACTGAAGTAAAAAGGCATGGAGAAAAAACTCTTTTGTTGTTCTGTACATTATTCAGCACTACTTCAGCTCTCCCTGTCCACTCTCTCACTTCATTCTTGACTCTCAAAGCTGGTGTTTTCTGAACCTTCTGAATTCCAAAGGGATTGGTGGTTCAAATGCAGAACGGGCAGGAAACGAGAACTTCAGGATGCAGTGTTTTCTCACGATGAAATTAGGTGATCAGAATGTTGTTTCTGACTGCATTCTAATAGCTTCATTCTAATAAAATTGTTCTTGAGAAGCGTGGTTAGTTTGTATTCATTTTGGTGGTGCCACCAACTACCTTGGGTCTGTTGCCCAGTGTCTGAAGAGCTGTACTTCAGTCCCCAGGCCTGCACTGCTGTGCTCTGCACCTGAGGATTGAGGTGCTGCCCAACAGTAACAACATCAGCTTGAGGGGAGGTGGCCCTTTGCACTGTTACGCTGCCTTAAGCAAGTGAATGTTCAACTGAGACGATTCACTTCCAGGGAGAAGCGTGTAGCTTTTCCTTAGGGACGACTCTCCAGATCAGGTTTATTCCAAATCCAGTACATTTAAACCTCTTCCTTTCCATCAGCCTACGTGCCGGGCTGCTTGCAGCAAGAACAGCCGAGAAGAAGGACTTGTGAGGGTGTTTTCCTGTTAACCTGAGGCCCTTCTGGGCAGTGCTGGCAGAACGGACATTCCCTGAATGCCCTGAAGAACAAATCACTCTGCGCTGGTGAGGTCGGACCTGCAG